CTGATCATAAATAATTAAAAAATTGAGGAGATTTTCAAATTGCCAAATATAAGAAATAAAACTAAAACAGCCCCATTTCTTCAAAACATCACTGTTAAGCAGTTCGTGGGAAAGAAAATCCTTCACTTATCTGATCCTGGATGAGGCAAAACATAAAGCTGCCCACCAGTACTGTTTGTCATTAGTGATTTAGGAGATAAACCTGCAGTGTTTTGAAATTTGATTTAGTCCCACTGTAGATACCTCACACATACATTTGAAACACAGCCCTTTAGCTTTTCCATTGTGTAAATTCAAGTCCAGACAATCAAGTGATTTTGTATGATTCATTCCGGTTGGATAGGACGGCTACAACATGGCTACCTTTAACTACCTGTAAATAGTGATGGGGCCCATCCTAACCCAGAGGATCAGTCAGTTTAGATGAGCCCAATGAGTGATTGAAAAATGGCTTTGTCGATTATGTAATGGTATGCACTGATATGGGTCAGGTACAAGTAATGGACTTGTGACTGGGGGATACCTCTACCCATGAGAATACCCAGTGAGGGTACAATGGAATGGTTGCAATAAGTTATGCCAACTGTGTACAAAGTAATATAAGAGCACACAGACAGAGCTTGTGCCACACCATGCATAATGCTACATCCAGATGTGCCCACCTTGCAAGCACGACAATGCCAGGCCACACACACTATTGGATGATGTGAGGATGTAAACATGTGACATGACGATGTGGAGGACAGCCCTTCATAGTGACATCTGTTACATAGTAATTAGTTCTGTATTGGAATATCAGGACAAACCTTTTAACTACAGTCCACAGATCTGTGCCACATAGTGCAAAGTCTCAGGAATAAGCCCACAGGTTTGAGATCTTAAAATATTAAATAAGCCCATGAGTGTAGTCCTCACATACCCTCGCCTAAGTGACAAAGTATGTCAAGTCATGGGCCTTTAACAGTTCATTTTCAACTTAAATGTTTTAAAATGACCAAAACTGGTTTCTGGAGAAGCATCTCAATATCACATTTCAAGGAAGATCAACATTTACCCTTCATTCTTCAACAAATGTAAAGGCTTACTTCACCAGACTCAGTGGGCTTATTCTTGAGATGTTTTTATTGCCTTACATTCAAGTTTTCACCCAGCACCATGTCAGCTTCAGCCAGAAGAAAGGAACAGTGGCTATCAGGCATCAAGACATCTTATCTTGTCTTTGAGTTTTGTCAGAGTTTTCTTTACCATATATGACTCCAACAACTGGAGATTATGATATGGGCAATGCACTGTTCGACACTTCTGTAGCAGTCACTGCCTGACAGCCAAATACTTCTATTTTTCTGCCAAAACATGTTGGTTTACAGCTTCTGTAATATTCTCAACATTAAATAATAACTAAACAATGGATGAAAACTACAGTATCAAAAACATGAAACATTAACTCACACCTTTGACCATACTGATGATTATGCAGTTTTCTCTGAGAGTGAGGACTCGTAAAAACATTCCTGTCAACTGGCAGGCAGCTGATCACATACATGACAAGTACCGGTACTTCTCTTCCTATGTACATTCTTGTCCCAATACCAAGTCAGCAGAACCCTCTACAGTCTTCCACACCATTCATACATCCACTCAGTCCAAACTAAATTTGTACAACTTGTTTCGCTAAACTTGATGCAAATGTACAACCAGTCCTATTGATCTGTACAACAAGTAGACAGTGTTCCTGAACTTGTAATGTCAAGTTTTCATCAGATTGATATGAAAATTTGACATTCCTGGGTTAATACGTCTATCTCTACCAGTCCATAAAATATCTTCTGTACCTGATATTAAATACCTGGGCCCCGTTTCATAAAGCTCTCGTAAGCCTAAGATCTCAAACTTTTCTCGTAGCATTTGTACCTCCTATGTTACAGTATAGGAGGTACCTAATGCTACGAGAAAAGTTACGTGAGATCTTAGGCTTACGAGAGCTTTGTGAAACGGGCCCCTGGACCATGGTTAGTCAGATCATGGAGCGTTAGTTCAATGCGAGAGGAATGCCACAAGTGATGCTGGCGTTAGACACTTATCACTTCGGTGAAACCCAAAAGAGGGCAATGGCGCTGAAAATCCCAGAAACATAATCCAGTAACTGCAACTTTTGTCTAAAATTACTTTGCCACCAACTTAAAATCTTACTAAGGACCCATGATCACTGGTTTCTTTTTAGGCTCAAGGATACAACTCCGCACAGCAAATAGCAGTGCCTCACTTCCTCTTCAGAAATGAGTGGAAGATGTCTATATTACTTTCACAAAACCTGGTTTGAGTTCCCTCTACATACCCTTTGGATGTAGCAGAACGGTTCTAGGAAGTGGATGCCTGTGTTAAGTGGGACTAGTGATCCTGTCGGGTGTTATCCTGCTATCAGAAGTTTCTCATATGACCATTTGAGTGAAACATATCAAGTCAGATTTCCTACTACTTGCCATCTGTGGAGATGACATTGACATCATGGTCTTTGTTTTATGAACTGAAATGTTCCATACAAACTGCTGTAGTAGTTTTAATTCATCCTCCCGCCGTAGCATCTGACCTTCATAAAAATACTTATAACTGCAAGAAACAACACAAATCAAGAATAATCTCTCAGTATTGTCACTGAGGCAAGAACAGGATGAAATCAGAAGTACTTCTCACAAGTGATTACCCTTTCTGATAAAATAATCATGAAGATGATGTAATACAAATAAAACAATTCCTATATTAATCATGCTGCCCTCCTTGCACACCTCCCTGATGGTGATGCTGATGATGATGATGATGATGATGACGTTGCTGATGAGCATTGACTCTGTTGAATGATAACTACAGGAAATGACAATTGCACAGCTATGTGATGGCTTCACATTACACACACAATGCCCATTTACAATCAAGATAAAGCAGTAAACTGAATATATGTGTCGCTTTCCAAACACTACTGATTGTAGTGACAGAAATAACCACAGAAGTATCATGTTCTAGCACTCTACAGTGCAGCAAAATGTTGCCGGTTATGATATACGTCTTCTAATCCTGTGCTAATCTTACTAAGTATTTTCAAAGTTCACAAAAACTTAATTAGTTGTGCATTGGCTGTATAATGTGACAAGATCAATTACAATCTAATTTCCTTCCTCAAAATGGCAAGGCACGGATATAATTCATCAAAATCCAGCCAGCTGATCTAAACTCCATTTCCTGATTTTCTCATAAGGAAATGGTAACTGTTTAGTTTTTTTACAATGTTTTCAAGAGTCACATAATTAACTCATTTAGTAAATGACTGAGAATAATACCCAACTCCCATTCCTGGGATATCCTAACCTCGCCTTGGGATATGAACTGCAGCTGACAGTAACCATGGTAACAAAACATCATCATTCTACCTCTCAATCCCTGTCCACTCCGACAACCAAGGTTTCAATTTCAGCCTTCAATAATCTTGATTGGCATGCTACTATGGCATCACAATATGATTATCAGCAAATATGAATTTCAAAGAAATAACACATGAATACTCCCCTTCTCGTGGTGATCCCCATGAACTGCTATGTTTGACTGTGCTGTAGGCTACTAGTGATGCCAACAGTTGCCCAACAATAACCTCACCATTCATATGCTACACCTACTGCTGCACAATACAACATCACCATGATGATCATAAATCATAACATGTATGTCATCAAAACATCAATTTTCACAAAAAATTATTTAAGAACAGAACTAATTTGAGAATCATGGATGACAATTATTCAAATTAAATTACTCTTCCAACATGTGTAAAATGAGAATACTTCTTCATTTGATGAAAAACAGCAAGACCTGCTAATAAAGGACACAGAGAACATAACATAGTATTGTGATTAAGGTCGACACATGGAGAAGTGATTCATAGATAATGGGACCATGTTCTAAATGTGTATCAACAATGATGCATGACATGTTCATGAATGCTGCAAATTAAGAAATCAGTGCAAGAATGAACTTAAAGCAATATGTGCAAGTTTGCTTGAGGCAATGATTTTTCAACATCAAACAGATGTTGGTTATAAACTTCAAAGGTAGGACAATGAATTCATTCGTGATGCACTTTAGTGGTCGGCACTCACAACAAATCTATGATATACAGTATGTATCAATTTCTAGAAGGTATCTAAAGTGAGTACAGGATGAATATTCTTCAGTCACGACATTGTGTATCAACTTTCGTGTACAGAATCATGAGCTGTATCACCTGAAGGAAACACAATCATGAAGGACAACTTCTGTTTATCCTGTGGAGAAGCTTAGAGAAGAACCAACTGGATGAACAAAAGTGGGCACGAATGTGTGTTCATCAACATTAAAAGCTCAAACATGGAAATTTCTTATAGAAGACTCAACATGAATGTGTTTCACGGCTAGTGTTGGATACATCATATGTACCACAGACGCAGAGACACGGGTGATACACACAGTTCTGAATCATCAACAACAGACACATGAAGATGCACTTTCTCATCACAGGCAGTGTAGGAATAGTGAGTTAGTGAGTTTAGTTTAATGCCGCACTCAGCAATATTCCAGCTATATGGTGGCGGTCTGTAAATAATCGTTGAAGATCGATTCTAACCCGTATCTTCACGGGTCCATTGGGAATAGAGTCAACCAGCCATCAATACTGAAAGTCGAAGACAAGTAATCTTGGTACCATCTTTCTGAAATATTATAGGTATTTCCAAAGTGCCATGACAAGGGACTAGGTGGATACTGTGAACACTGACAGACAAGGAGGTGGGTAGGTGCCCTGCTCCTTCACCAACCAATCCTCTCCCTGACATCATCAGTTTGTTCCCGGGTTAGAATTGATCTTCCGTAACCCATGCTTGTTGTAAGAGGCGACTAACGGGATCGGGTGGTCAGGCTTGCTGGCTTGGTTGACACATGTCATCGTATCCCAACTGCGTAGACCGATGCTCATGCTGTTGATCACTGGATTGTCTGGTCCAGACTCGATTATTTACAGACTGCCGCCATATTGCTGAGTGCGGCGTAAAACTAAACTCACTCAGCAACCATCAGTTTGTTCAGGCCATGATTTGACTACACTGTGCATCCCCCTTTTCCACAACCCTGGATCTACCCTAATACAAAACTTATAACTGTATCTCAGTATGAGTTGATACACAAGCTCATGTACTGAAGGGACTGAACAATAGAGTGTCTGTGCAGGAGTTAGTGAGTTTTACATAGTTGGTGATTGATTTCAATTTTAGGCCGCTTTTAGCAATATTCCAGCAATATCACGACAGTTTTACATAGTGTCACCAACATCACAGAGTACTCAGTGAAGGATATGGAACAGGATTATCAATATCAAAGGTATGAAACCTAACAACACACACATATCTGTACAATCTAAGGTGCTGCACAGAGTCAGTATAAAGTTCACAGAGATGCTGAATCTGATCACAGAAGTTGAATCACATGTAAAGCTATATGTTATACCATCGATACACTCGCTGGTAGGCCAAAACATGTCTGCTTAACTACCACTACTGTTCATGACATCATCAACATCCCCATGACAACAGGTGCTTGTCAGAACATAGAACAAGATGAGGACTAGCTTTGTAATATTATGGCTTCAACCGTTGTTATTGTCAGAAGATCCTTTAAAGCCACAGATGCTGACAGACAGGTGCTTGCCACAACACAAAGCAAGAAGGAGGCTGACTGTATAGTGAGGAGGTTTAACTGTTTCTCATTCGTCATTGGAAGATGATGCTTTGCAACAAAAGATGCTGATCGAGGTGCATCTCGTAATATACACCATGATGGATACTGTTGGTGTAGTGTGGTAGCTTCAACTGTTCCTGATTGCTCCTTGTCAGGTGATCCCTAAAACCCACAGATGCTGACAGACAGGTGCTTGTCATAAAGCAAGATAGAGGCTGTCTTGTGGTAGCTTCAACTGCTGGATCTTACTCTGGCACCACAGACGTCTAACAGACAACGGTAATAGTTTCTTGTCAGAATACAACGCATATCAAGAGTGTGTTACCTTCACTTTGATTCAAACAAACACAACATAGAAACTGTGGCATACTCCAAAATTCTGTCTTGCAAGTGAAAATACTTCCAAGCCTTCATGACACTGGTCACCAATATCAGCATATTAGCATTGCTTTGGTATGTGCAAGAATCCTTACTTTGCACAGTTTGCCCTCGATGATAAGCGTAAAAGCTTGGATTGTTCCTTTATACTGTTGAGCACCACAAGAAATGATTTTCAGAAGAAACCCTTAGCAAACCAGACACAGAAGTGAACCATTTCAAACCATCTTTTGAGGGACCTTCAGTCATGAATGATGTATTATCCAAATTTCTGTTGCAACAAACATCATCAACAGAGCTATGTCCATTTGGAGTCATTTATGCATACACAGTCACAATATCAACACAATCATTGTTGAATGAACCATCGCATGTCCTGGGCCTCTCTGGCTTCAAATGGCCTCCACTCCTCTGGTATTTGTCACCTGTATGAGCATCTTCAGCTTCCAATACTTGTGGCCCCTTCTTGGAACTTCTCAAACACTATCTCTATATCACACTGTTCTAGGCTTGTACTGTCCTCATCTAGTGGTCCCATGTTAAAATATCAAAACACTCACTTCCACTAATCCCCAGTTCTTGTCACTTCTCGACACATACTACAGTACAGCAAACTTTGGGTTACACTGTGAAAGACATGTTCTATCTTACAAGCAGACAAGGAGCTCCTCCGTCTCACACAACTAGCCAGAACATAGCCTGCATCACTCAAGTCAAGCACATGAAGCATTTCTAATGGCCAAGAGTCACATTGTTGAACATCAATCCACTCAAAAGGTATTCAAAACAGGAATTCTTCCACACTCTTTATAAGACACTTGAACATTTAATGTCCATTGCCAATATAAAAACAATAAAACACATGTCTTCATCCTTTGTAACTGCACCAGAAGGCCTGTTAGGATGACTGACTGCCCTTTCCATGACTAAAATAAGCCCATGAGAAGATCAGCGTTCCTTGATATGCCATCAGTTGACAAGTGGACAATGCTGATATGTCCAACCTGGTTAAGCAGACAGTGTGATGATGCTTGGTGTGGAGTGCTTCTGCAATATCATCTCTGATGGATCCGCATCAGCATAGGTCACAAACACAGCCAGGTTGTTGCAGTTGTAGACCCCAGGGCGACAGAATGCAGCCTTTAGTTGTAGTTGCTGGTCAGCCCCGGGGGCGAGGGTGAGGTTAGCAAGGGTGGGGCCCACCCAGCTGAAGCTGCAGCTCATCACTGGTGGGGTGGGGGAACCGGGGGAGAACTGTGGAGGGGATGGGCTGGAGGCGGTTCCAAACCTGAGAAAAAATATAAAAAATAGATAAATAAAATACAATTGAAACATGATACAATCAATTATCTGAATAGAGAATATTCTTTGTGAGGGGTCAATTTCCAACCAGACTTTACATATTTAATCTTATGAATGTAATGTCTTATTCTCCAAAGCATCTTTAGGCACCTTTGCACCACTCCAAAACTATAGGTGAGAGAAAGGAGCATGTACCTGTCTGACGACTTGCTGGTATCCACCAGTACATCAACAGAGGTGTCTGTGTGGTTCTGTAGTTTCAGGGTCACTGGGACAATGCACAACCTGAAGAACAACAATGGAAAACAACATATGTAACCCTGCTGTATTGCTAACCTAAAGGGATACCAAGATCCTAAAATGTATGCTGGCATCATCACAGGACATCACCTGACCATCTGATCCTAAGGACCTGTCCAATGATTGATATTGTGAAGCAGGATCTTTTTCAGTGACCAAAAGCAACTGATTTACAGAATAGTTTTTGCAATATTGTGTATGTTGGTCCCCCATCCAACCACTGCTCTAAAAACAATCAATAATTTTAACAAATCTTTTCATCTGACAGGAATCGTAAAATCTGTACAAACACAAGATGTATTTAGATTATTATCAAGTGTTCAGTTTGGCATATAATCTTTTCATATGTCATTTGCAATAATAAAACATATAAACTCAACAACAAACAATGAAACATAATACAATACTCACTTACAAGTACCGTATTTACAGTTTGAGTATCATGCTTACTGTACCATGTTCACTGTACCAGTACAATGCTCACTGTATAAGTACAATGCTCACTGTACAAGTACCATGTTTACTGTACAAGTACCATGTTTACTGTACAAGTACCATGTTTACAGTACAAGTACCATGTTTACAGTACAAGTACCATGTTTACAGTACAAGTACCATGTTTACAGTACAAGTACCATGTTTACTGTACAAGTACCATGTTCACTGTACAAGTACAATGTTCACAGTACAAGTACCATGTTCACTGTACAAGTACCATGTTCACTGTACAAGTACCATGTTTACAGTACAAGTACCATGTTCACTGTACAAGTACCATGTTTACAGTACAAGTACCATGTTTACAATACAAGTACCATGTTTACAGTACAAGTACTATGTTTACAGTACAAGTACCATGTTTACAATACAAGTACCATATGTTTACAGTACAAGTACCATGTTTACAGTACAAGTACCATGTTCACTGTACAAGTACTATGTTTACAGTACAAGTACCATGTTTACAGTACAAGTACCATGTTTACAGTACAAGTACCATGTTTACAGTACAAGTTCCATGTTTACAGTACAAGTACAATGCTACAGTACAAGTACCATGTTCACTTAACAAGTACCATGTTTACAGTAGACGTACAATGGTACAAGTATTGCATTTGACCTATACTGTACTGACAACCCGACAGGCTACTGACCCCTTGTTGAAGTTGTGTGTGCAGTCCAGCTGGTGGAGGAAGGAGTAGCTCACAAGCTTTGTCGTCACCTCTGGGCTTGGCTGGGGCTCGGTCTGCGGCTCCACGTTACGGATGAACTTGAGCGGGGGCTGGTCTTGGTTAGACTAGAAACAGGGGTCAGACATTACTGTTAGCTTGTGTGTGGTCAGTGTAGTCTACTACAGACATCATTATCAGTCCAGTCAGTATGTGTGGACTGACAACTATATTCCAGAAAGAGGATTACTCATTTACTCAGTACGGCTGATCAAAGAGAGAAAGGGGGAAAGCTTAAAGAAGTTAAGAAAATTTACATTTTAATTGCTTCATGGCATGTTTCTTTGATATGGAGGAATGCCCAAGTGATTCAGAAGGTGCTCACATAGGGGCACTGCACGAGCTAGAGTGTTGTGATGATGTTCATCTTGCATGACCTACCTGGACTAGAGGGTAGGCTGTGACCACGGCGTCCACTCGCTCGATGCACACATGATGCTGCCCAACAAGGATCTTCAGCTGACCATTCTCCTGGGCAACAAATGCCTAAGGCACACACAAAATGGGTTAAGATAAGGTGTGCGGACTTAATGGAGCTTAATTTTACATACAAAACCCCTTTAATAAAATTGAAAAAGAATAACACGATTGTTTTTGTCAACATAGGTAAATTAGAAAGAGAAACATAATTGGCAAAATATGACTGAGAATCAATTTGATGAAACAATGGGTGGGTTGTCTTCCCTTTTTTATCTGAAATATGACAATTTTCAGTCACAAATATAATGATATGCAAATGAGCAGATTTCTAAGTTTGATTTTTGTCTGTGGAGACAACTTGTTCTTCATTTTTCAAGGCAGCCAAAGAAATATTTCAATTTCAAAACAGTCCAAATTTTGCAACATCATCATAAAACATTACAAATCCATCAAAACACTAAAGTGAGTGAGTGAGTATGGTTTTATGCTGCTTTTAGCAATATTCCACCAATATCACGGCGGGGGACACCAGAAATGGGCTTCACACATTGTACCCATATGGGGAATCGAACCCAGGTCTTCGGTGTGACAAGCAGACGCTTTAACGACTATAGGCTACCCCACCGCCCCCAAAACACTAAAGATTGTTATCATACCAGTCATAAGTTTTTAAAACCAAAATCACAATTAGGGATCATCAATAATTTCAGCAATCCAAGGATTGCGACCTAAGTGAACCCAAAAGTGACTTCTTGACTATAAATCCAAACACAACTATGTTTGATTGTCTGCCCGAATTGGTGCCAAATGGAGGGATCCTTCAGCGAAGATGTTGCTATTCCAGCAACTTTAGGTTTGAAATCCTAGTGTAGAAATATGAGCCAGTAATATCAGTTGTAGTTTCCCAGCAGACAGACTCACCTTCCAGAGTATGATAAGGGTGAGCTTCACCTCCCTGGCCTTGTTCAGACTGGAGAAGTCAGGCTGAGAGGGCGCTGAGCGGTGGGAGGGGACTAGGCTGGCATCACTGGGGGAGGAGCTGATCTGGCGACATGCAGGACTCCGGAAGTAGAAGTCACAGCATGGAGTCTGGACACTGTTGATCTGCTCACACAGAATACATCATGGTAGTGCTGAACAAACACCTCACTGTTATATGTTTAGATCTGTCATATCATAACCGTACTGTTTCTAATAGTGTTGTTGGTTTGGTGTTTAATGCCAAACTCAGCATATACCAGCTACATAGCTGTGGTCTGTAAATAACTGAGTCTGGTCCAGAAAAACCAGTGACTGACATCATGAACATCGATCAACGAAACTGAGATAAAATAACAGACAACCCGATTTTATTAGCAACCTCCTATGACAAGCCTGGGTTACTGAAGATCAATTCTAACCCTGGTCGCTTAGAGTCAGTGAATGTTTACCTTTCCACAGGTAAATCTGTGTGTATACTCCCCAGGGAGCTCAGGAAGAAAATGAAGTGCACACTGATAAATCAAATGGATGATAAAATCATAAAGCACATGATTATTGTTGTCATTAGTATTATTAATAGTAGTAGTGGTGGTAGTAGTAGTGGTAGTGGTAGTAGTAGTAGTAGTAGTAGTAGTAGTAGTAGTAGTAGTAGTAGTAGCAGTAGTAGTGGTAGTAGTAGTGGTAGTAGTAGTAGTAGTAGTAGTAGTAGTGGTGAAGTAGTAGTAGTAGTAGTAGTAGTAGTAGTAGTAGTAGTAGTAGTGGTAGTGGTAGTAGTAGTAGTAGTAGTAGTAGTGGTAGTAGTAGTAGTAGTAGTAGTGGTGGTAGTAGTAGTAGTAGTGGTAGTAGTAGTAGTAGTAGTAGTAGTAGTAGTGGTAGTAGTAGTAGTAGTGGTAGTAGTAGTAGTAGTAGTAGTGGTAGTAGTAGTGGTAGTAGTAGTGAGTAGTAGTGGTAGTAGTAGTGGTGGTAGTAGGTAGTAGTGGTAGTGTGGTGGTAGTAGTGGTAGTGGTAGTAGTGGTAGTAGTGGTGGTGGTGGTGGTGGTAGTAGTAGTGGTAGTGGTAGTGGTGGTAGTAGTAGTAGTAGTAGTGGTAGTAGTAGTGAGTAGTGGTAGTGGTGGTGGTGGTGGTGGTGGTGGTGGTGGTAGTGGTAGTAGTAGTGGTAGTGGTAGTAGTGGTGGTAGTAGTGGTGGTAGTGGTGGTGGTGGTGGTGGTGGTGGTGGTGAGTGAGTAGTAGTGGTGGTGGTGAGTGGTGGTAGTGGTGAGTGGTGGTGTGGTAGTGGTGGTGGTGGTAGTAGTGGTAGTAGTAGTAGTAGTGGTGGTGGTGGTGGTAGTGTGGTGGTGAGTGGTGGTAGTGGTGAAGTAGTAAAGGTAGTGGTGGTGGTGGTAGTGGTGGTGGTAGTGGTAGTAGTGGTAGTAGTAGTAGTAGTAGCAGTAGTAGTATGGTCCCGGATCCTGGCAGATTCCCTCCAAATGTTTCAAAACAACCGTAACATATTGTTTGGACATGGACTTCCTTAAAGTATATTTTCAGCAAAGCCACATGCAACAACAAACTGTCATCAAGCTGATTTTGGCAGTTGCTCAATGTTCAAAGCTCGAGTGTACATCTGGAGTTGTTTAGACAATCTTACCTTCTGCATGTCGAAGAATACCTCGCTGAACATCAGTTTGTTATCTACAAAACAGAAAAACACATTCAGGGTACAAAAGTCCTGCAACAGAGTTTAAGTGAGGATCTAATATTAAATTTCACTCCAATGGTCTACCATGTGTCCACAATAAACATGCACAGAATGCTCAATTTTGTTTTATGTGTCACAGACTTTCTGTGGTACTATCCCTCACAGACATAAGTATTCATAATGCAGATTATTTAGTCACTTCCAGCTGATGAATCACGTAACAACATGTTAGTGTTGAAAACCTTTTATGTAAAGTATCTGTACATCATTCCATATTCTCTAAAACAATTTAGAATAGAAGGATTTCCTAAAGAGAAAAATGCTATGGTTTTGTGTCCCCATTTTTATGAATGTGCCCTGATCTTTAAACACAAGTGTCCAAATAAACTCTGACAATCCAATTCCTAGATCCATCACTTGAGTTTAGATCCTGTTCAAAGTTAAGAAGAAATATAGAAAGGGAGACAACTCTAATTACAAAATACATTTATTAGTTTGCTATAGTGATGAAAACGGAAAGAATACATGTAGTAAAAATATGACTTCCCCTGGAGGAGATACACATGAAGATGATAAATAGGTTGAGTTGAGTGAGTCTGACACACAGAAGCATTGAACACATTTTGAATTACTGCACTATTTGAATTTTATCACTTAAGTCTGGAAGACTGGCATAGCATGGAATTGCTACATCACTCTGCAGTGAAACCACTGAACTACACTTATCATTGTATATATATAGAACCCACTTGAGGTGATGAGGTTAATCCCACATGCCTACCTATTTTCCCAGTATTGACGTAGACAAACAAAGGATATCAACACTTGTCAACCCTGTCCTACCTGTCTTGCACTTGGTTCCCTTGAGCGCCAGCTGCAGGATGTGCCTGCTGCCGATGCGGACATCCTTCTGGTCGCTGATGCTGAGGGAGTTGACCACCCAGTCCTGACTGGCACACGACACCTGGGTCACCTGCAACTCCTGGATGTGGGGCCGCTGCACCTGCACCTGGACAAAGCACAGGTAAACTACAGTATTCTGTCAATACTGTAGGGTAGACCCCACTGTCATAGGATCCTGTATGTGTAACTAAAGATGAGGGTCTGAACAGTTAGTTGAAATGGGATTCAAGGCACAGGTACATCACACTACAGGGGTAATATCACTATCAATACTGTCGGGCAGACTCCACAAGCATTGAATCCTGCTTGGCCTTACCAAAGATGCAAGTGTTCAGTAAGGTGAAATGGGTTTAATTATTATTATTATAGGATAATTTATATAGCACACATATCCAGGCAACTAGTGCATGCTCAAGGCGCTGATATTTTTTCCCCCCTCAATCATTGGATGGCAATCTCAATGGCACATCGTGTGATCAATCTCAACTCCCTGGGGAGTATACAACTCTTGCAGCCACTAGGCGCACTGAGTTATTGTGGCTTTCTCACCCTAACGAGGTACCCATTCAAAGCTGGGTGGACTGGGACACGTAGTCACGGTACTTTGTCCAAGTTCACAGCACATTACTGTACCCGCAACTTCAAGATTACAACACTCATATAGAACATACTGCTGCTTGTAATAATACAGAACTTTGTTTGTTTCAGAGTGGTAGCCCACATATTATGATGTGGCTGGATTACACCTACGACATTGTGCTATTTGTCCATCTTCTACTGAGGCAGTTGTCTGAATGGTGAATCACACCACTAACTTAGCTATGACTGTGCAGTATGTCTTCAAAGTAGCAGTATTCCATCCCTACTAAAGCAGGGGACACCAACAAGGGTACCTATATGGGGAACTGAACCCAGGCCTTTGATGTGATGTGCCTACCAAAAGGCTACTAGACCTCCTCGGTGAGCCTGTGCATTCTCAATCTGAGTTATATGTTAGTTCCTTGCCTCTTACCTGACTGAGGTTCTCCAGCTCACATGAGATGATACATGACTTGAGTTCCTGTCCATCACTACTGGACACACACGCACTGGGCTTGGTCACCACGGCCCTCACACTCAAGGACTCCACTGTGTTGACCACTGCTCTGTGTCGAAGTACTCGATGTCTGGGGAACAAGGGCAGAGGGATAAGTGAGTACAGAGTGTTACATTCTAGGACAGACAAAATATAGTCATAACATCAAGAAATCCTGGCCATCAAGGAACAAAAAACACACAACCAGCCACACCACATTCCATTTGGCCTCCTAAGACAAGTTTCTGGGAACTTATTCTGCCCCTGAATCAAAGGCTATAACGATTAAGGTAACCTGTGTATCCTATATGTACACATCTCCCTTATTCTGTCGACTCAAATCTCAAAGGTTGTATACTCCCTGGAGTGAATTCAGCTTGGGAAACCCAGATTTGAACAGTACTTCAGAGATATCACAGTGGAAGGAATGTTTTCTTTACGTGTTCAAGTCTCAAATGCTTACTTTGCTAAAACCCACAAGGATGGTGACTGAGTAGACAAACCAAGAAACATAATCAGTGTGGTATACTGCATGGCATCCTTCTTAATACAGTATTTTCCATTCCCAATTCTATTCCTTAAATATCCGGGGACCATTAAAATGCAATAAAAGCAGAATATGAACTCCAGTATAATAATTCCAATAACAACAAAACCAACAGGAAGAGAACTCTCAGTGATGATTTCCCAAAAGAAAATAAAAGTATTAAGGCTGATAAACAAGTTACCTCACAGAATCCTTTTCTTTGGCTTGTGTGTTAAGTGGTTCGTAGTAAAACAGGAAGTCCACTTCGTGAACTCCCCCGATGTCGTTCCCCCGCAGCCACATGGGCAGCGACCTGGTATCCCCAGGGCGAAGGATGTTACCCTCGATGGGAATGTCTATAACATCAGGCACAGAGCGCACACTGCACGAGTCTATGGGGTTGCTGATGTCACTGTCCACAGACCTAGTCTGGTAGACGTAGGGATATTTAGGGAGGTCTTGACTACAGCCAAACGTGAAGAAGTCCGGGTGGGTGGACGTCACCTTGAGTTGATGTAGAGGGCTGCGACCGGTGTTCCGTACTTCCATCTCTATACAGTGAACCTCCCCACACAGGAGGGAGTCAGGGAAGTCACAGAAGCTCACCTGTAACATGACAGAGTTGTGTACAACAAGGCCTGCCTGTCAGTAATGGCAGAGGGCTGGAAGTTAGAGTTGTCTTTGATGTACTGGGGTACTGGGGTACTGAGGTACTGGGGTTGAGTGTAGCTAGCACAAACATTTTCCTTCTGGTTTTGGATAACAAAGAAATATACAAATGTGAACATTAAGTCATGCAGAATAAAAGTTGTGCCTCAATGACAGACATGTTGTCATGTTTGCAGTAAGTAACAATACATGTTTTATCTGTGTATACTGACTGACTGAGTTTGGTTTTACGACGCTTTTAGCAATATTCCAGCAACATCACGGCAGGATTATCTGTGTATAAGCCTAAGTTGAATGAATGTCCCTAACTCAAGGAAAGGAAACTCCTTATGGACTATTTTAGCTCTACTAGAAACATTGCTGAAATCCCTGTCCTATCTCCAGCATCTTCGGCATATATTCATGGGCTGTGATGACTCCACTAATTCTATCCTAGTATAAGCTTCAAGGAGATCCTCTATCCTACCTCCAGTATGGGCATCTCCTCGTGGACCGTGAGATCCAGCCGCCTGTCCGGACCATACACCTTGTTGGTCTTGTCATCCTTGCTGGCGTTGAGTCGCGGCCCCTGCACCTCCAGCTTCTGCTTGCCCCGCACGTACACGCTGCTGATGAAGCTGGGTTTCTGGGAGCCCAGGATGGAGGGCGATGAGGTGGAGGTGGAGGAGGGCATGTCCCCCGGGAGTGGGGAGGAGCTCTGGGACTGGGAACTGGTGGTGCCCAGGTTGTATGCCAGGCCCACCACCCGCAGCTCACCAGGCTGTCTTGGCACCAGGGTCAGGTGGATCTGCAAGGTGACATGTATATGGATGAGTGAAGGAATGAGGCTTTTTGCTGTTTTTAGAAATATCCAGCAATACCATGCTGGGGGTTCACAAATCAGTTTCACACTTGGGATATATGTCGCAAATCTCATCTAGGCCTTTTATAATGTTTTTTTGTAGTTTAGATTTTAATGCTCAGTTACTAACAGTCCATTTACTGACATGTCCCCAAGACGTCCACCATACTCGTAGCAAAATGACTGCTTCACTCAGATTCCTCCCATCAAATCATTTTGTCCATACTCATGCGGCTTTCTGAAAAGGACTACCCATCCCTCTGTGATCAAGTTAACATGTAAGTACTGGATAATCCACAAAGGGGATTTTTTTTGCTGTAATGATAGTGTTAATAGTGTTGAATAATTTAACAATTACTACTACTGGTCACTTCACTTATAGACATATTTAGAGGTAGTATGTTTCAAAATGGTGCGCAGATTCTCTGAAGGGTAAGGTGTCCAGGAATCAGCACCATCTCTGGAACCAGGCAAGCAGTTCAGAGATAAGTACCCTCTGAGGATCCAGGCAAGGTGTTCAGACATAAACACCCTCACTGGACCCAGGCAAGGTGTTCAGAGATAAGCATCCTCCCTAGATCCAGGCAAGCTGTTCAGAGATAAACACTCTCTCTTGACCCAGGCAAGGAGTTCATAGATAAGCACTCTCTCTGATTCAAGAAGGTGTTCAGGATAAGCTGTTCAGAGATAAACACCCTCTCTTGACCCAGGCAAGGAGTTCAGAGATAAGCACTCTCTCTGGATCCAGGTAAGCTGTTCAGAGATAAACACTCTCTCTTGACCCAGGCAAGGAGTTCAGAGATAAGCACTCTCTCTGGATCCAGGCAAGGTAAGCACCCTCTCTTCAGAGGCAAGGAGTTCTTAGATAACACTCTCTTTGGATTCAGGCAAGGTGTTCAGAGATAAGCACTCTTTCTAGATCCAGGCAAGGTGTTCTTAGATAAGCACTCTCTCTGGATCCAGGCAAGGTGTTCAGAGATAAGCACCCTCTCTGGATTCAGATGTTCAGACACCTCTCTGGATCCAGGGGAAGAACTGTAGGGCTGAATGCCCTCTTGGTCCACAAATGAAACTCACTGGAGCTGTCTGGCCTCCCTCCAGCACCACCTCCTTGATCACAGTCGTCTGGATAATCTCATCTGCCAGGTTGTTCTTGACCCCTGTGGACACCTCGTTGGAGATGAGCTGTGGCTTGTCAGCACCGGCGATGCTGGGCAGGAAGCTCCACAGCAGCATGACGTCAGACAGCACCAGCGTCACCTGCAGGGGGTCTTCCACCTGCACCTCCACCACAATGTGCTCTGAAAGGGGAAATGGTTTCAGTTTGTCGATTGGCACAACAAATGGCTATACTCCAGCTACGCAAGAGAGTATGATGTGCCAATGAATAAAGTATACCATGTTGAAATTTTCTACAGAAATGTCCACTCACATTTTGTGCAGTACCTGTGGAGAATTTTGCATTATTCCGGTGGAGAATTCACCAAATATACTACAGAATGTATGAAGATGTTTAATATTTCAACAAAACTTCTTCTAAATGTGTAAAATTTCCAAAGGATTACTGATACAGTCATTAGATAGTGCCTTGTATTAATCAAATCCTTCCAAATTACTATGATAGCTGATTTGTCCAGTGAGGACTTCACTGCTGGGTCTCCTGTGAAATGTCCTATGTACTCACCTCCTACAAAAGCTATAGGGCTGGCCCTGTTTTCTGTATTGTTAGTAAAGCACTGCAGTGTTGATCGGAAGGTGTTTGGGAGGGATCCACCGTTGGCTGAGATCACTAGCTTCTCTTCCAGCTTCTGCCAGCACATGTTTCGACTCTCATCGTGATCGAACCACACCCCTGTTGCTGGTGTCTTCCGTGGGTTCTCTGCAATATGTCACACATGTAAATGATATACATACATGTGTTCATGTCATGTACTTACTGACTGTGTCATTAAGTTGAAGTCACCAACACTCTGATATAGCACTACTTACTAATAGTTGTGAGGTACAAAAATGATAAGGCAAGAATCATTTCCTTTGCCAAGGACTTGAACACTGTGAGCAAAGGAACAAATGTTTGTTCCCCATCTTTTTTCTGCCACAGACTTAGAGGATCACTGTTAGCAAAGGAACATGCGTGATGATAAAGGATATATTGTGGAAGTCCACGTGCCACCTACCTGGTATCTGCGGCTGCTGTTTCCCCATAAGGACCTTGGTGGTGTTGCTGTTGATATTGGGTAGTGGCAGCTCCGGTAGACGGCCATATGAGCAGTTCTCCCCAGCCTCCTGAGTCAGCAGTTGCTGAGGAACAACGTCAAGGTCATTTCAATATCAAATCAAAACTCTTTAATAAAAATAATCTACATACATATTCTACCACTGTGAGAACAACAGTATTTGCAGAAATGCTAGATTTTGCCAGTTTAACAAGATCAATCCCTTACAACAGTTAAAGGTTCTGATCTCTATTACAAAGATACTCTTGAACACATACTTGAAACTGGAGACACATATGGTTCCATCAAGAGGTTTATTAAATATTCAGGGACGAGAATGTCTTTGCAAGTTAGCCAAGGAACTTGGACACTCCAGATTTTATGTGCATATTAAATGGCATGTATACTTCCTATCAAAAGTTTAGACTCACTTACAACACTCACTATACATTATGTATATATATGGTTACATCGAATATGAATTTCTCCCCTAACTTGAGGGAACAACTGCAAACCTTATGCAGATGTACAAATATCGTGCAAGTGAACAGCTGCTATTTGGTGTAAAGTTTTGTTAATAATTTGCCAATTTTCACTGATTTGTTCATTTATTGAACTCATGACAATAATCTTTACAACGTTACAAATTTGTTTTACAATACATAGGTTCATGTGAAAACAGTATCTTTAAACAGCAGGGAATATTTTGCAACATCTGGTTCAGAATAGTTGACTGAAGTAAGTGGCTACATTTACACTAGTGAGTCTAAACCTTTGGTGGGTAGTATATAAACTTGACCCTTTGACACAGAAACTCCTCCTCCCAATAATGATGCAGTATCACTGCAGGGAACAATAAACTGACTGTCCACAGAATACCCTTACATTACTATAACCCATTAGTCTACCACACAGAAACGGTTGACATAAACTGTCACGCCACGTATATAAAGGGAGAGTGTGTGCTGTTTCATTTTTTCATTTGTCAGTTTGTCTGACAACACTTAAACCACAATCAGTCATCTATCAGAAACATAACATATTGTATGGCAACAGTCTGTAAACAAACTGAATCTGATCATTCAAGCCAATGGTTGATGGCAATGGCAACCTTCCACACCATGGTGTTCCATGGACTGAATCGTCACTATGCACAAAAAACCTCATTGTAAACAGCTCAATTTTAGTTAAAAACATGCTTCAGCTATGTCACAGCGCCTTGTAATAAAAACAGTCCTGACCAGGCAATCCAGTCCTTGAAAAACTCTCCTTTCCATGGTTGTACAATTACATGCTATCCACCAAGTCACTGAGTCTGACTACCTGCCTTACAACCAACATCAGTTGCTAGGAAGTTACTGTAATACAGAATCCCCATGGTCAGCTTCAGCAAGCATGGAGTATTGTATTCTGCCCTGACATCCCAAAAATAATTAATCAAGGCCAACACCAGGTTGTGAGATGACAGCACTAACCTTATATACAAACAGGTACTCTCTGAGAAAGGCTCCTTGTTGGGCTGCTGGTTGTTTGCTCTCTGCCATCAGCAGGTGCTTGAAGGCAGAGGAAGCATTCTCCAGCTGCTTCAGGTTGAAAGACTGACACGCCCAATAGTAAAGTGGATGTGATCCTGGCAACACGCAAATCATTTCAGAACTGATTAGCACATTTATAGCAATAATTCAAGAGTGAGGTTATGCCCTTACCACAGTTACATGAAGGTCACCAAAATCGACTGGGCCCTGTGTCTTCCCTAGATGAAGCTTAGTGTTGAATATGAAGAAAATCCAGTGATTGATGGTGAGATATCTCGCTGACAAGGGTAAAAAGTTAAAGTACCCTTGTGACCTTGAAATGAAGGTCACGGTCACCAAACCTGACTGGGACCTTTTGCATACTGTGATGAACCTAGGTACCAAAAATGAAAAGGATCTAGTCAATGGTTCTTAAGATATTCCAATTCGTACGGACGGACGGACGGACCCTAATACTATATCCCCCGTTTCGCGCTAAATGCGAGGCGGGGGATAATAAAAGCAATATTTGGCGATGTTTTTATCAGCAGAGAAACAAATGTTGGATCACTGACCTCAGCAAGTGACCAGTACTTGCTCTTGAACACTTGTAATGCTTGCGAGTAGGCCCTCAATGAGTGCTTGCGCTGTGGAATAAATCATGCATCACTCAGATGTGAAAACAATTGGTTAACTTTCAAAACAATGAAACCTAAGTGCAGCTGTACCTCAATATCCATTGCATGAGTGATGTGAAATTGGGACCATGTGAACTTCTTTATGATCACATTAAACTATAATGAAATCATATGTCAACCTAATCCGGAGTAAGTGATACAGAATGTGGACGTATATCTTTCCCAGTCATAATGACAGGTGTTTCATGTGTATTGCTCTGTGTTAAGTGTGTCACGACCCATCTTGGTATTGGATAGGCGGATCCAGAGGAGGAGGGCACACCCCTTTGTGCCATCATATCATGTCAATCCCCTTCATACCCTGGATATAATTTTAGGGATACCAAAAGACAATTTGTGGTAATTTCTTGCAGCCTGCCTGCAAAAGTGTCCATGGATATTTTCATTATAGCACGATTGCTGCTTGCCAATTTTAATTTGGTATGAGTGAGTGCTCATCCATCAAATAAACGCTACTCAACTGGTATTTTGGTAAGTCAGCACTCACTTACCAAAATACCAGCTGAGTAGCATTAAATATATTTGCACATTACATTCAACATGGTGAGTGAGTGAGTTTAGTTTTACGCCGCACTCAGCAATATTCCAGCTATATGGCGACAGTCTGTAAATAATTGAGTCTGGACCAGACAATCCAGTGATCAATAGCATGAACATCGATCTACTCAATTGGGACACAATGACATGTGTCAAACAAGATATTCAACATAGATTTACACGTCTTTCTGAAAAGTAATGTGAAATAGTAAGTAGTGACAAATTCGAATTTGAATATTTTCCACATAATGACACACAATCAACCAGGTCACGATTGAGACAGCTCAATCCATTTTGCTGCCTCTGACAATAAGTAATGGAGTTAGGGACCGTTCATAACCTAAACCCACCTGTCCAGCCTTGTTAAATCTGTGCCCTGCCAGAATCATATGAAATGCATATTTCCGCACCATCGGCGTCTTCATGTTGATGAAACAGTGAGCTCCTTGCTCAAGGAAGAGGGCGCTGGACAAGTCAGAATCCTGCAACATGTAACACATGTACATGCCAATTCTGTCTTTGATATATTGGAGAGTAACCTAAACCGTACAGGATATTCAGAACCATTGATAAACAAACACCATATTTAAAACATTCAGATAGATGTTTGTCAAACAAACAGTTGTATTGGTGGCTGTGAAATCATGCACACCATGATTCTGATTAGAAAGTGAAAAATGATAGGGATTTATCTAGGATTCCAAAGTAAGCGTGCTTTGCAGGCAGAAGCGAAAAAAAATGCTATTTTGTTATAAACTAGAATTTATATAAAAACAATTCCATACTCAGCAGTAATTTATGACTGTAATTTCACTATATTCAATACAATAATGTATAACGTGGCATCAAAGTCTCTCTTGATATACTGGAGCTGTTATCACAGACATACCAACACCCTTGACCAAACCATCACCTAGTACTAACACTTAAGGAACCTGAAAGTGCTTTTGTTTCACAAACAATGAACTGGATATGAGGACAGAAAGTACATGCATTTATTCTCAGTTTTCTTGCATCCATTACACATGTTGCTAAAGCATTTTAGAAAAAACATTCAAAATTCTGACACCTTGGCATCACCGTTTACCCAAACCCAAAACCAAAACCCAGGGATTTACATCAACCTTTACACCAGATACTACCAGGAAGCACTTATTATTAATCTTAATTCATATACTCAACTGAAAACCCCGGACACCATTAGTTTTACTGATACTATAAGCTACAAGCACTTCTAACTTAGTAATTGCAGTCAAATAGCAGATGTGAGAACATCAGGTCAACTGAAGTTTCAGATCATTAAAATAAACAGATTGATTCTGCAGAACAAAACAAATATGGAGAGAATATTTACTTGGTCTTCCGCAATATTCAGTTTGGTACATTTATATTATATAATGTTACTTTCCAAAAGAATTGGAATGATATACAAGGGTTATGGACCTTGGACTCTGGACCATGATCTGGTCAATCAAAACCAGCTTTCCAGATTTGATTTGTGTCAATGCCACAACAACTGAAACTTTCAGCCAATACGCACATATTTCTCACATCAGTTCCCAAGCGTTGTGATTAAGCTCCTAGGAAGTGAAAGCAAAAACTAACCCCCACCTCATTGGTCATTTTGAGGAACTGCATTGCAGCCTCCCCATACATCCCCCGACACTTGAGTGCCTCGGTGCTGACTAGAGTGGCCCGGACGGCGTACTGGAAGTTCCTGGAACCAAAATAAATATGACATGATAGTGCCGTATGTGTTTGACTACTGCCAAATCTGATTACAATCTGCACTTTTTTCACACAAAAACGAAGATCTTTATACATCATTAGTGGCATTATTACAAAGATTTTATGAGAGCTTCCAACAGTAAGTCTTCTGTACAACTCCTGTCATTAGAATGTGTAAGTGAGTGAGTGAGTGGGTGGATGAGGTGAGTGAGTGAGTGAGTGAGTGAGTGGGTAGGAAAGTGGGCGAGTGGGTGGATGAGTTGGTGGGTGAGTGGGTTTGAGTGAGTCGGTGGATGGGTGGGTTGGTGAGTGAGTGAGTGAGTGAGTGGGTAAGAAAGTGGGCGAGTGGGTGGATGAGGCGGTGGGTGAGTGGGTTTGAGTGGGTGAGTGAGTGAGTGAGTGAGTGAGTGAGTGAGTGTGAAGGGATGGATGGACAGGCAGGCTCCAGGGAAGGCGTCAGACTGATGGACGAGCAAGTGATGGTGTGCCCCAAAAGAGTCATTCCAGGTATATCGCAGCATGGGACATAGCAAGAACAGACTTCTTATAATGTACCCATGTATGGACTCTTCATCATGACGACCCAGCACGATACCTCTAATCTACCTTACCATGCCACAATGAAGCCAGCCAGTGGCTGTAGCCTGTTCCCTACCTGCATGTTGTCAGGTAGGTGGTGATGGCAGATTCCATGTAGTGGTGAGGGTATTGTCTCTGACTCTGACTCCCCAGCATGAAGATAGACAGGCTGGCCATTTCCTGCAATGGATGATAGCATACATAATGTAATCATATCAACTGATGTACACAACTGGGATAAGATGACATGCAAGTCGGACCACCTGATCCCCTAAGTTGTCTCTTATAACAAGAATGGGTTGATGACCAGTTCTAACCCCAATCTTCATGGGTTATCAGATGTGCAAATAATCCAGTGTGGGTCAGACAAACCGGTGACTAACAGCATCATTTGAAAACAATGAGACACAACCAAGCAGGCGACACATTGTGTTACCTGATACGAGGATCTCAAAGGGTTGAATTAACAGTGATGTGAGTTTCTCACCAAAGCTCCAGCAAAATGCAGCCATGCATGGTCGTTGTTGAAGTCTCTCTTGGCTGTGTGGTATGTGTGGTAGGCATAGTCGTACATTTGGAAGAGGAACGCCAAGTCGGCGAGTCGGCGGAGCTGAAGTTCAGGTGCTTCAGATGTGTACCTGGAACATCAAGGGTTCCACTGAAAGATGTCTGAAACCATTTCCCTATCCATTCTACAAGAGAGTGTAGGAGGAAACGCTTTGTCAGCAACATTACAATGCTATCATATCACTCTGTGAGAGCATTAGTCCTAGTGTTGGGAATTGGTTGAAATCTCACAATTGATGATTGCTTCATTACCAACGAACAATCATCGAAAAAAATTGGTTAGCGTCATTTTTCAGATTTTCCTATCCAGGTTGTTATTGCAGATATGTATAACATGATGCAACTTGCTACTTTAAAGAGATGATTAATTTATCATGAACATAAATTTCTTGGAGTCTTTTATCCCAAAATCGTTTATGTTCGATTATGAGAAATTCTAATTCAACTTAGTATGTAACACGAAGTTCTGATTGGTCAATGCTATAGAATTTTCGAATCGTGATAATCAGCATATACGGCCGCAATTTGAAACCGATTCAATCAAACCTTTGAATGTATCCCTACACTATTGGGGTAACGCTGTTTCGCAGGACATTGTCATTTGCAGAAGCCATTGGTCAATTAACTCCCTATCCAGCTAAAATGGGTGGAATTTGTGTTAAAAAGACAAAACAGTATCATAAATTTAATTTTAAGTTCAAACAACTTACTACTCGCGAACGGCTGTTGACCCAACACTGTTAGATCATGAAACAAGGTTTATGACGCCATTATGGAGCCGTGACGCCACCTGCTATGACGCTCATTTGACAACAGAACTGATAATGGCCCGAAGTTGAGGAATCAGCGGGCCGCTTCATTTCTGTAACTAGAGGGCGGTTTCATCATAATACCGTCCATTTTATCTATATACTATGATCTATTCATCATTGTCAAATTTAGTCTGTGTGCACATAATAAACGTGTGTAGTTTGAAATGGGAACTACTTTCTCTGGCGATGGTGTAAGTTGAAGGAGTGATATGATTAACCTTTGACCTAGAGGAACTTTGACCTGGTTTAAATAATGAATTTCTTTCACGAAAAACAGAGTAAAACGAGTTGAATTAGAATGGGGATAACTGTATTGTGTGTTGATTTATTGAGACGATATACGATGGTTATATAGTCGCAAATTTATCGTTATATCGGCTCCGCTTACGGCGTCGCCGATATAACAAAATTTTATGACTATATAACCACCGGTATACGCCCCAATTCACAAACACAGTACAGTTATCCCCTAAATGTAATTGATTGCTTGGTCGCTTGGTCACTGCGACCAATCCTCGATTATTTCAATTAATCGGAACACCACTAATTAGTCCAGCAATTTATATAACCCAAAACTTCTGTTTAGGTTAATCTAATCTAATCTAATCCAAAGCTAGTTAAGTCTGAGTGGGCATGGTTTTAAACCACTATTAGCATTAGCAATATCCTAGCAATATCATGACCGAGACCCACCCACTAAATGCATGCAATCAGGCATTAACAAAAGAAGATGGCACCTCAACAGCCATCAGTCTGTCTCAAATGGATGTTGATAAAAACTCAGATCACAACAATCGATTCATGCAGTCAGAGCACAATGACACAGGTCACAGACTTCACAGGAAGTCACCCTTCAAACTACCATATTTCCTCTATTAGACATAGTGACCTCCAACACATGCCAAGCTCTTACTGATGCCAAGTTGTATGCCCCCACAAAGGAAGCCTGTCCTTTATTAGAAGAAGGGTGTCTAAATACCATGATATGCTGCTGATAGTTAATGACTCTTTCCAACAATAGCAGTCTCTGTTGCACTGAGCTGGACACATGCCCGTTCAACATTTTATGTGCAATTAGTGAGTGAGTGAGTTTAGTTTTACACCGCTTTCTAGCAATATTCCAGCAATATCATGGCGGGGGACACCAGAAATGGGCTTCACACATTGTGCCCATGTGGGGAATCGAACCCGGGCCATCGGCATAAGGAGCGAACGCTTTAACCACAAGGCTACCCCACTACCCCTAATGTGCAATTAAGACACACAGACAGAACAGAGGAAGTACAGTAACTTCAGGCCTTAGAATCCACATTGCCTGCACGTTGTTGTGAGAGGGGTCGTGTACTTACACTACAGATGTATTCTGGGAAGCCTGTACGGGTCCTGATGGTTTGTTGGTACCAAACCACTTCTTGGTGGCACTGAAGATGGATCTGTGGATTCCCTTCCTGGATGTCAGCTGCAACACAGAGTCATCCAACACCGGAACATCATTTACAACTTTCTGGGTAAATCCTGTTCATGTTCAGGTAAGTACTATTGGGGTGTACCTCTATTCATGCCAAACCATACAGTTATAACATGCTTTCCGACAAATACAATTACTATTCTGTATCCAAACGTCACCATCTGATACTTGTTAGACAATCTAAAGAATCCTGATGCAGATGCTTCATGGAATTGTTACCAAAGTGTTTTCATAGGGTCTCAAATGGACACCTGATCTGTGATAAATCTGGTATAATGACATAGAAAACAATCACCCCATTTAATACCATATTGTACCCATAGTATACCATATTTTCCTAAGTAAAGTGCACATTTTGTATCCAACAGATGAATCATTTTGAGGTAGCTGCACATAACCTTATTTTGTTATTTTTCCCAAAATCTTTATTTTGTTATTTTTTCCAATGGCATGAGCTAAATCGAGAGAGATAAAATGCTGGGTCCTTAATCACCTCAGGTCATTATGGCGCCTGCATGAAAGAGAGATATGGAGAGGTCCAGTCCTTAACGTGTGGGCATAAGGTACTGCTAAACTATCGGTACATTCACCTGCTCATTCAACATCCTCATCTGTTTCTCTGCCCAAGGTATGAGGGATCGCACCACAAACTCGTGCATGAAGATGCGCAGGCGGTCCATGTCGCCTGTGGTGAGACAGACGCCGTGGACACGCAGCTTGCTCTTCTCCTGCCCTGCCGCCGAGCCAGTGCTCTTACCATCCTGGTAGCCATTGGCTGCGGCTGTGGCATCCCCATCGTGGGATATACTGGATTCTTCTACCTGAGCTTGGGTCTCCGTGGAGTGGAATGCTAGTGGGTGATCCATCAACATCTCATTATTGCTAGTGTTGGTGTCGTTTAAATCTGAGAAAAACGTCAAAACATAACTGTACAATCTGTGCAACCAGTTTGAAGTGCTTTCCTTTCAACATGCGAAATGGTATGCTATATCATAACAATGTCAAGTCAATAAAAGAAACACAACAAGCTTCATTCAGCTTGCTTGTGCCCCTACCAGATCTTCTGCTGGAAATGGCCAGTTGGTTGATTTGTTGTGCAATGCCACACTCAGCAATATTTCAGCTATATGGCAGCGGTCTGTAAATAATTGAGACCAGACAATCCTGTGATCAACAGCATGAGCATTGATCTACGTAATTGGGATACAATTACATGTGTCAACCAAGTCAGTGAAATGACACATGGCAGCAAAATGACGACTTTGACATGGTGAGCAATCAGCCAAGTCACCAAGCCAGACCATCCATTAGGTTGTCTATTTGTGTGAATGATACCGTGAACCTTAACCAGGTTGGCCTGAAGAGGTCAGACTACCCTCATACACTCCAGATGAGCAGCTGGAGAAGTCTCAGTGTTATCACTGTGAAAACAAGACTTGCACATGTACACATATACTCAGTTACTTCAAGGCGTGTCCACTTAATGTCTGGAAAGTCTCAGTGTTTGGAAAAAGCCTGCTGTGAAGCAAATTGTAACTTTCACACATTATGGTGAAACCCATGATTATCAGTATGGAGTGAGTGAGTGAGTTTAGTTTTACGCGCACTGAGCAATATTCCAGCTATTTGGCGGTGGTCTGTAAATAATCAAGTCTGGACCAGACAATCCAGTGATCAACAGCATGAGCATCGATCTGCACAATTGGGAACCGATGACATGAGTCAACCAAGTCAGCAAGCCTGACCACCCGATCCTGTTGGTCGCCTCTTACAACAAGCATGGGTTACTGAAGATCAATATTCTAACCAGGATCTTCACAGGTTCATCAGTATGGAGCTGACAGGCCGAGGACTATAATTAGGTCAAATCTGAGAATCAAGCCCAGGATCATCAGATCCTGCTGCAGCTAAGGGATGCAAGTCAACACCACAAACTGGAGCTGCTCACTGAACTACATGAGTCTGACACAATTCACAATGACAATATGGCTGAAATGACAATTATTGGTCTCAGATCTCAGACTCATGACAGCTAAATGCTGCAAACTATGCCACTGTTAGCCATTTTTCAGCTGCTGCATCTGTCCCTACCAGAATCCCTACCTGTAAGACTAGAGGAATGAACTGTGGAGATCTTGTCAGAAATAACATCTGGTGTGGTCTCGATCACTGAGGTCTCGAGGTCAGGGATGGTGGAGGTGAGTCTTGCCTCTGAGAGATGGGATGGGAAGCTGGCATCATCCTGTAGCGGCAACCCGTCGTACTCAACACCCTCCTGGAGAAGCAGACGACACATGTCGGACATCATCTCTCAAGTTATGTACAGTAAAACTGAGTTGTCAGGATCCTGTTTGTCAAGAAGCATCACCCTCCAGACAGTTACTGTGGGAACACTTACATAAACATAAACTGATTTCAAAACCCTATTCTATTTTTCCAACATTTTACAACCTAGACATGGAAACCCAACCATCCAGACAAACACAGTTTCACTTTATGCTGGGTATATTTCCCCTGTAATGTAAATGAAAGGATCGTCTTGCATGATGTCCCAGTGACTGGATCTGTAAGGAGGACTGCAGATTAAGAAATATCTGGCAGTTGGAAACATGTAACTTTCCAGGTCAATCAATAACTGACCATGTTATCATGCTGACACACCGATTTCACTATACAGACAAAAATTTATAACTTTCTACACTGGAATCATAACTTTTCTGATCCATACTTTATATCATTTAGGGAAATAAATTCTGTTGAAAAGTATCAAAACAATTCCCTTGATAAATAATTCACTACTACATAATTTTTAGAACTTTACTCAGTACAGAAACACATATCCATGATACGATGATTATGAATGATAGTTAAAGGTATGGAATTAGTGAGGGAAGGGATTCAATGTCATCAGTGATCACAGGACAACAGCTATATCACAACTTTATCACAGCCAAATACCAGCTATACATATCTAGACCCAGGGCTCCAGATAATTACATACTTATTTTTTCAATATAGCAGTACTGGAAAAACTTAAGAGTACATTTAGAGTACCGAATGGAATTTAATTGAGCTTAACTACGACAAGATGAACGAGTGATATGAGAAGTAGTCCGTTCATTATTCATACAGTAATTTGATTACTTGACTGTTTACAAGTCATCGAAGCACAGTCTTGTTTCTGTAATTTGTTTCTGTGCTGCCATGTTCACAATTTTGACCAATCAAATTTAACCGAGATGATTCGCTGCGGTACATGGTTTCCTTAGCAAAGCACAAGGGGAACCCCAATGTGTCGCAATCCTGTAAATTCAAAGATGGACACTGCTTGAAATCAGATTGCTATGTTTTAGATATATACATCTGTAAATGATTCTAACACCATACACCATTGCAGTGGTGCGTATCTGCTACATTTTCTAAATTAATTCCTACCATATCGTGCATATTTTGTATCCATACATACGCTGAAACGGACCTTATCTGGAGCTCTGTAGACCTGCTCAGAGGAAAATATTTGGCCTAAAGTTTGGAGTAAATTTCCCAAATTGGAAATAAAAGTTTCCCAAATTATGATAATGTGTACAGCAAACAGGAACCTTTTAGTTTTGTAGAAATAACCAAAATTTTACTGATAACAGAATGAACGATTAGAAGCAGGTTGTAACACTTAGTCATGTTGTATTGCTTTGAGTCAATGAGTGGCTCAAAATACCATGTAAAAATATGTCTCTCTCTAAATTCCTGAAAATAAGACCCCATTATGAACAAAATAGATATATCACAGCTGTCAAACAGATATATTACAGCTGTAAAACAGATATATATCACAGCTGTAAAACATTTATCACAGCTGTAATACATATATCACAGCTGTAATACAGATATATCACATCTGTAAAGACATATATCACGGCTGTAAAACAGATATATCACAGCTGTAAAACAGATATATATCACAGCTGTAAACATATCACAGCTGTAAAACATATATCACAGCTGTAAAACAGATATATATCACAGCTGTAAAACAGATATATATCACAGCTGTAAAACATATATCACAGCTGTAAAACATATATCACAGCTGTAAAACATATCACAGCTGTAAAACAGATATATCACAGCTGTAATACAGATATATCACAGCTGTAAAACATATATCACAGCTGTAAAACATATATTACAGCTGTAAAACAGATATATCACAGCTGTAATACAGATATATCACAGCTGTAAAACAGATATATCACAGCTGTAAAACAGATATCACAGCTGTAAAACAGATATATTACAGCTGTAAAACAGATATATCACAGCTGTAAAACAGATATATCCAAGAACCTGTAAAAGATGCTTATCACAGCTCTGTAACTCTTACACTAACACAGCTATAAACAACATCTAGCTTTATCACAAGAGCTCTATCCAGCCATATGATATCTCTAGAACTATAAGTGCTTTATAATAGTTGCTCCATAACCTGTCAAAGCTGTACAACAGCTCTTGGCGCCATCACAGATCTGGTTACTATAGTCCCAACTGATTGTTACCATGGTTACAAAGAATTCATCCTATGCATCAGCTCATCAGGCGTTGTAACACCAAAATTCCAATTATAACTGAAATTTGGGATCATATTCATGAAATGACATGTTAACCTTCTCTGTATAACAACACTGATGACAGGGACATGTAACTGTGGACCTAGCTGACACAAGGGCTCGATACAAAGGGGTGTAGCCGAACCACACTTCTCTACAGCAGTGTACATGCAGCACTGACATGACAACATACACCTGAATTTCCACATGAATGAAATGGAGATCAAAAGCCTGGATCAAATCATGCACTTGCCTGAGCTGCTACCAAATCTATTTAATACAATCCACATCAGTAATATATTCATTGAAAAGAGCAACAGATGCTGGGTAATGATAAACACACAGAATCCAACAGATGAAACAAACCTGTGATTCTGGTTCCAACATGTCCCTCATTATACACAACGTTATTTCATACACTCAGGAAAGGCAACAAGGAAATCTATTTTCAGCTGAAAACTTACTATTGTGTCATTGAATGGGGGTTCAGGGTTTCTAAATGGACTTAGATGATTCACAGAATTGATCAATTTGAAATAAAATCTCCAGAAAATTGCCATGCCTGTACACTGATTTGGAGTCACTTTCTGTAACACTTACTTTTAGTGGATATTGATGGTGATCATGTCAACCATTGATGTTTGTTTGTTTGTTTATTTGTTTGTTGTTTAACACTGCCCTCATCAATATTCCAGCTATATGGCAACAGGGTACACTTACAGAATACCGGATACATACCAACCATATTGTTAATGTCACGTCTATCTAACTCTAACGCTATCCTAACCCTAAACCTTACCCTAACCTAAACCCTAAACCTTACCTAACCCTAAACTTACCTTAACCCTAAACCTTGCCCTAACCCTAAACCTAAACCTTACCCTAACCCTAGGAGTTAGGAAGGTATCAGGTTTTCTGTAATCTTACCTGGCAACAGTCTATGAATAATTGAGTCTGGACCAGCCAATCCAGTGATCAATATCAAGAGCATCAATCTACGCAGTTGGGATACAATGACATGTGTCAACTAAGCCAGAAGCCAGCAGGCTGATCACCCCAGTCCTGTTAATCGCCGTCTAATGACAAGCATGGGTTGCTGAAGACCAATTCTAACCTGATCGGCATGAGTTGAACCTTGATATATCAGACATGTAGAAGTGCCTATATTGACACAAATAGTCCACATGCTTTAAACACATGGCACACCACTCAGCTACATTCAATCTTGAAATCATGTTGGTTTGACATTGCACTCAGCAATATTCCAGTTATAAGAATGAGGTCTGTACCTATTGTGCAATGGAATCCCTTGGAGGAGACATGCAGCAAACACCACTGTATTGCCTTATGACAACAAGTCAACTTTTTGTAAGAAATCAAAACACAGAAAAAAAAAGCAAAGGTACAGTAATGAAACAAAAGCCAGTTTATAAAACAACACTAGCTGCAGATGAAAGAACACGTTTCTATTTCAAAAGTAAATTAGGAGACACACTGTATACATCTTAGTAAGGAAATGAGCTGAAAAATGGTGATGAAATACAGAAGTAGACTTCTCAAGGAAATTACAGTAGAAAAATGTCTCGACAAAGCTGAAATATCCCCAAGTTGTGAGCATGCAACAGATAAAGCTGAACGACGACAACGTGTCACACGAGTGATGGAAGCAATGAAAGTGTGACACTGGCGTAGCTCCCCACATGCAGGCTGACGGTGCCGGCAGACTTACCCAGGTGATGAAGTAGCGGGGCGTGTGGGATTTCACCGGCTGGAAGAATGGAGCAAGTTACACCAAACGTCTTCTGTGTCTTATTTCTCAGTGTAAGTTAAGAATTGTCTACATTCGACTAAGGGACAAGGGGAGGTAATTTGGCTCATTTGCCTAATGATTAACTATTCTTAGTTGATTACCGTTGTGTTGGACACTGAGTGAGTGAGAAATTGGGTTTTCGCTACTTCTTGTAATATTCTAGAGGTGTCATGTAGAGGCAACACAACATAGGGTCTTACACTGTATACCCATGTTGAGAATCAAACTCAGATCTCTCGTGTGACAAGTCAGTGTTTTAACCACTAGGCTTCCCTACCACCACTACCATACATGTGAAGGAGGGACCTTGTGTTCCTGGAGATTACATGCTTTTGAATTCTAATCTCTGGACTCCATGGATCTTTGACCCCAAGAATGCCTTGATACTTTGTAGAGTTGGTCTTTCCTGGTAGCACTTGAATTCATACTTAATAACCATCATAATCCTTTATGTGTGTGTGATCAAACTGATGTTTAATCGTGTAATATTCCACCTATATGACAGTAGTGTGTAAATGATCAAATTTTGCCTGAAAATCTGTTGATGGACACTGAAAAGGGTTCACACTATAATGGTACTATAATACACAATAAAAAAAAGTAACTATGAGTAACTAATCCATTTAGTCATATTTCCGACTTGCTCCACAGGTTGCCAGGGACTCTTTCTTAACTGGAAACTCCACAGGATGTGTGGATGTAACTTAGGTTTGTACTGATTACATCATACATATTGGTTTGATGATACCAAGACGTGTCAGTGTAACATATCACTGAATGCCTTTACAAGCATCATTGAACCGGTAACCATTGAACCGGTCACCTACACATCATATTATACTACACAAAATGTCCACAGTCACAATACAGCCATGGATTGTCAAGTACGACGACTCATCATAATACCTGAAACATTATAATTATTACATGAACATTTTCCAACCATATCAAAGTAACCGTGAAACCCAAACAACACATTGCAAAATGTTTGTGCTGTACTGAAGGACCTATGTTCAAATCCTTGGTAGCTGACTTATTTGCAGCACAGGTTTTGACCAAAGTAAGGCCTTTTTTTAATTACTTGGTTTACAGATTTTGTAAAAAATTATTAGGTTGGTAGGGAGGGAAAAAAGGGAATAAAGGGGAATATGGAAATGTTACTTGCACACTTGAGTATATCGTGGTCTTATGAGTTCTGACAATTTGTGTGACTGTCTTTTGCAAAACATAGTTTTCAGGGAATATTTGAAAGGTATAATTGGCTATTTTTAATTTTTTTAACTTCCTTTGATTTTTATCAGGTGGGTGACAATTGAAAAAGAAATAATACAAAACCATGGGTTTTTTCCCCTTTCTTCATATTTCGGGTCAGCGGATCCGTAAGCCAAGTAATTAAAAAAAGGCCTAAAAGTTGGCCCTATATCATATAGTAAGAAATCATCTAGGGGGTATACTACATAACTGACAGCCCTTGTTACTGTTACAGCCCACTGACCACTACTCACCTGCACCTCAGGGGCTTTGGGCAGGAACTGACTCCAGGGGTCTGGGAGAGAGGCTTCTGGCTTCATGTTCTCCACAGTCTGGAGGGAGCGGGAGTTGATCTGGAGTAGGTGGCAGCACTGAGACCCGAATGTTGTCTTCATACTTTGGTAGTACGCTTCAGCCCTGTCAAACAAATCAGAGTTTCTGATTGGATAATATATATTGGAGAATTCGCAAAGAAAATACTTTACATCTGAGTCTTCGTCATGTAGTGCCTTAATACATAACATTTGATGAGTGAGTTAGTAAGTTTAGTTTTACACCGCACTCAGCAATATTCCAGCAATATGGCAGCAGTCTGTAGATAATCGAGTCTGGACCAGACAATCTAGTGATCAACAGTCTGTGTATCAATCTACGCAATTGGGATATGATTGCATGTATCAACCAAGTCAGCGAGCCTGACCACCCGATCCTGTTAGCTGCCTTTCACGACAAGCATGGGTTACTGAAGATCAGTTCTACCCGGATCTTCATGGGTCGACTATATGACATGACGTGGCCTATTAATAATCAAATCTGAACCAGACCCTTCCTGTATATATGGGTTTTTTTAACCTCAAAATCATATGACCATACAAATTAACTGCATCTCATAAGACTTAAAATTTAAGACCATTCTTCACTAATTAGTGAAATGTAGCAGATCCTCCTAAAATTCAATTAAATAATACATGACAGGTCCTCAAATAGTCCTATTAATACTCTTCAATGTTTTTATCTTTACCCTGATGTATCATGTTTAAACAGCACTTCTGATGTTACCTGGGCAGTTCTCCATCACTGACGTCATGCAGGAGGACGTAGTACGTGAGTATTCCCGGACAGAACCAGCGGGGCACCTTGTTGGGGAACTGCTGTTGCTGCTGAAGCTGCTGATTGGTCAAGCTGGTGAAGGTCGCAATTGGGTCACTCTGACCAGAGGAGGCCACAAATATACCTTAATTATGGTTAAGGATTACAATACTTCTCTGACACTGTGTGAACTGTCAAAGAGTGAGATTGGTGTTGTTTGCAGTCAACAATAAGGAGGTCGTATGTCCATAGAACTCTCCTCATTCAATATAATTGGACACAACTCTGTACAGTGAACTGTGGTGCTGATAACCACCATGCTCCTTGATAACAGATCATTTGGACCCTTACACATTATGTGAATGTATCACACAATGAAATAAGTGACCATACCTGACCCAATCCATACAGCAACCTGTGACCAGTACAGTTCACTGGAGGATGCCCAGAGCTAATGCTTTTAAGTACAGGCAAATTTTGGCAAATGTGAAAAGTTTCAATAAACTGGATAATGACTGTAACATGCCAACCCATCACTATATATAATTGACATATGGCAGTGAGTGAGTGAGTGAGTGAGTGAGTGAGTGAGTGAGTGAGTGAGTGAGTGAGTGAGTGAGTGAGTGAGTGAGTGAGTGAGTGAGAGTGAGTGAGTGAGTGAGTGAGCGAGTGAAAGGTCACATGCAACGTAAAACACTTTGCAGATTCTGATACCTTTCGGTATGGACTTACAGTAAAAAATGATCAAAAACACAAATTCAACTTACAAACGTTGAAAAATAACGCAATGAAAAAACCCCCTCAAAATCAGAGTTCAAACGAATCACTTAATTCACCCCAGTTGGGGTGAAAAGTGGTTTCAACAGCTGTGCTGCGCAGTGAATAGATTCGCGCAGCTTGGAAGCGTGATGTCCGGCTTATAAGGTCGAGAGCAGGAGTAGTCTAATCTTGGTTGTGTACAACAAATAGTAAATAATCTACTCATTACATAAAAGAACCTTGTTAAGGATCTTTATCCAGCCTCATGTAAGAATGTCGAGTTTTGATTGGTTCACGTGACTCTGATAAAATACCATGTACACCCGTTAACTGTTTATATAATTTCGATCCGGGCGCTCTTCTTAGCGAGCAGGAGTACAAAAATGTCATATTATCCCGCCACGCCTCCATGACCACGCGAAGTGAGACAAGCGTGCATCACCAAGCCTTTACTAACGTGAGCTGCATTGAGGTCAATCAATCAGCTGTTGTCAACATGGCAGCAAGGAAACAATTTGCCACAACGACTGAGAATGAAATTGAAGCAAAACATTCGGCTAGATAAATGTGTTATCACCTTGTGTCTCGGGAAACACAGGGTTTTATCAGCCCCTCGTAAGGTTGGTGACCAACATGGTCAACCCCCACCCCTCCATGTGGCCAACATGGTCAAGCCCCACCCTCCATGTGACCAACATGGTCAACCCCTACCCTCCATGAGACCAACATGGTCAAGCCCGACCCTCCGTGCCCCCACCAACATGGTCAAGCCCCACCCTCCATGTGGCCAACATGGTCAAGCCCGACCCCTCCATGTGACCAACATGGTCAGCCCCCACCCCTCCATGAGACCAACATGGTCAAGCCCCACCCTCCATGTGACCAACATGGTCAAGCCCCACCCCTCCATGTGACCAGCATGGTCAACATCCATGGGTCCAAGCCCGACCCCTCCAACCAACATGGTCAAGCCCCACCCTCCATGTGGCCAGCATGGTCACCCCACCCTCCATGTGACCAACATGGTCAAGCCCCCACCCTCCATGAGACCAACATGGTCAAGCCCCACCCTCCATGTGACCAACATGGTCAAGCCCCACCCTCCATGGTCAACCCCAAGCATGGTCCAGCTCCTACCCTCCATGTGACCAACATGGTCAAGCCCCACCCTCCATGTGGCCAACCTGGTCAAGCCCTACCCCTCCATGTGACCAACATGGTCAAGCCCCATCCCTCCATGTTTTCTGCAATACAAAGGATACACCCCACGCAGTGACTCAGGTATTCGTGGTCTGACAATGTGATCACGTCGAGGAAACATTCCCTGTATGCCTCGAACCATGGAGTAGAAGCTGAAATATAATTGACGTAATGTATATTTTTCACCCTAATGATAATTAACCATATAAACAGTTTGAGATATTTGTTTGTAAACTTGCTGTCGTCGGGATTGTCTTGGATCTGGTCTGATAGGGATGATTTCGCTGACGATCATGACCACAGCATTCAGTGGAACATTGGGACACCTCACCTTCAGAGTGAGTGAGTTTAGTTTAACGCCGCACTCAGCAATATTCCAGCTATATGGCGGCGGTCTGTAAATAATCAAGTCTGGACCAGACAATCCAGTGATCAACAGCATGAGCATTGATCTATGCAATTGGGAACCGATGACATGTGTCAACCAAGTCAGTGAGCCTGACCACCAGATCCCGTTAGTCGCCTTTTGTGGCAAGCATGGGTTGCTGAAGACCTATTCTACCCCGGATCTTCACGGGTCCCTCACCTTCAGATGTAACTCTGTGAAGGTGACCCAACACACAATAATTCACTGTGGAGGTAAGGTCATCAACTGACATCATATTCCCAGCTCCTATCTCTCCATCCCCAGTCTGTAACCATGGTAACGGTGACTGTACTGAAGCATCACTGACCACATGAACTCACCATGAAGCTGCAGGTCATAGTTCCCAACGGACATCATATTCCCAGCTCCACCCCCCTGTCTGTAACCATGGTAACGGTGACTGTACTAAAGCATCACTGACCACATGAACTCACCATGAAGCTGCAGGTCATAGTTCCCGACGGACATCATATTCCCAGCTCCTCTCCCTCCATCCCCTGTCTGTAACTGTGAGCCCGCCACAGCATCATTGAGCATCTTCTTGGTGGTGGCGTGTTGAGGGGGCGTGGCAGACATGTCGCAGGTGCTGATGCGCAGGTTGTGAATGGAGTGGGACACATTGTTGGGGTCTTTGATGTGAACTGAAGAACAAAACAAAAGTTAAAAATTACTATTTCTTACGATTTTCCTAAAAAACAAAAAACATTTTTCATCAAGACAAAGGCTTCGTAATTCAAAAATAGAAATGATAGAGTCACACAGTGCTGAAGCTCACACAAATCCATCAGGAATATTTGTAAAAATAGTAAAGATTAATTGGAAAAAATGTTATTTCAACATTACGACACTGCCACAGCATCCCTGTTAAAATCAATTCTTAGGTACCATTATGACAATTGCTGGTTCAACTGACATTGATAAGTTCAATATTGTTCAAGGTACTGTCAGCATCCACATGATCGCAGCACCAGCTGTGTAACACATGTGTATGGCAGTACAGACATATATGATTGCCTTTTCTACCTATTTAACTTTCAAATGGAAAGCAAAAATAATTTTAAAATTCTAACTGAATGAACATGTTGAAGCAAAGTAAATGAATGATTAATCTACACGTACATCAGCATGATTGATAATAACAAATCTTATTGAACTTAAACATGAAAAATATTGATTTCAACTGTTGATGTCAATCTTGGCACAGTTAGAAATTCCATGTAACTGAAGAACAATGGTTTGGTTGAAATCACATTCACATCAAATTAGATCCTGCATCAAAATGGCACAATGCCTATCTCTTATTAGTCTTAATGAAACAAACTTATGCCTATGAGAATATTACAGAGCCCCAGATAAGATTTAGCTCATGTGGGTTCTGTACCCACTGTATTTTGTTTGGAGTGGGTATTATGAATGTTGAGTGGGTATTTCATTTTCCGTTACCCACTGCTTTCAAATATGTGCGTATTTCCAATTTACCACCTGCTTTAAACTAAGCAGGTATGTTCTACCTCATGTCATTTCAAAACCAACTTAAAAAAAAATCACTCATCTCACCTAAACACTTGTCCTATTAACAGTACATTTGATAGCAATCGATGTCTTTTTCATTACATGTATTATAAATTTACTATGTTTTAAACTTTTTAGCGATCTGACATGCTAAATGTTCTACCTCATGTCATACCTAATCAAAACCAACTTAAAAAAAAAATCACTCATCCTGTACTGACAGTACAACACTTGTCCTATACTAACAGTACAACTTGATAGCAATCGATGTCTTTTTCATTACGCAAGCGATTATTATAAATATATTATGTACGCATATGTTTTAAACTTTTTGCGTATCTGACATTTTAAATGCGTAATTGGTACGCAACAATTATTTTTTCAATGCGTAATTGGAAATTTGGTCTACTCCCATTTGTGAGAACTCCCAGTTGTGAGACTCCCAGTTGTGAGACAGTAGAGAAGGTAAGTAGCAAAGAAAACACACCTTAATCCCCTATCTGATAGAATGGATTAACCCCAGCTAATTAGGGATTAGCTATTTAACTGAATCTTGTGGAGGATGCCAAGGTAGTTGCACTTATGTTTATACCAACGGATAGGAAATTTAATATTCTACATTTCTGTGGAATTTTATAGCCGTACGTAGATCCAGGACCACGCGAGCACAATTCTCGCTCAACGTTCACTTTATCAAACTGTATGAAAATGTGTGCGTGAAAAAAAACTGGGCATCCAGGGGGTTAAAAGATAAAGTTATTAACCTACTCAGGTAAACGGCTTTAAAAAATAAACAAACATCATAATAACGCAAATCATCAAAATGTGTGAATCAAAAATCATAATGAAATATTTAATGAACTATTTCTTCTGTGTAAATATAATGATAATCTTTTTCAGTATTTCAGTATTTAACTTGTTCTTTATTGAAAACAATAAATGCTCTTTAATGCTCATTAATGAACTATGCCTCCTGCGGGTACTCTTCAGCAACAGGGCTGTTCCCACTTTCATCATAGGGATGGGGAAGCACCACCTGTGTGCACTGAGCCATCAATTAATGTGTCTCACAACTGGGAGTTCTCACAAATGGGAGGACACTGGAAATTTTCTATGCGTATTTTACTCGGATACGCAGCTTATCTGGGCCTCTGATATTATACATAATCTTGAGGTGTAAGAACACTCAACAATGCCAACAAGCTCAAAATATTCTGGAACAGATTAACAAAGTACAATTTTACTTTTCCCTACAAAACTTGGCGATCAGACGAATTTCAAGGGTCCTGACAGGACCGGTGTGGGCCATATATACTAATGAAATGGTGCAATGTACTTAACCAAAGATTTAGTTATCATTTTAATTACAGGTACATTATACCTTCTCGTCAAGCGTCCTCATGCTTTAATGTTATAATATAATACCAGAAAAACAAATGATAAACAATTTGATGAGGGTTTACGTTCGGGTTAAATATGTGGGAATGTAAACATTGCAAACGTTACCAGTCGCTGTTTAATTGTGAGTTGAACTGAGATATCGTATATCCATTGAACAATATAAATGTACTGTTTCCATCAGTCAAGTTAGCCAAGTGAAGCAACTGCAAACCAAGGAACGGGGTGCTATGGAGTAGTTTACTATAGGAGGCTGTACGCGATGATGATATCTGACGTGCATCGTGACGTCGGTTACCAAGGGTACGTTCGATTACGAGGGGACAGACTAGAATGGCACACTGATGCCAATACATTGTGATATAACGCAAAAAAGTGAATATTATTGTCTGATAAAGTACTGAGGGCGCCTGTGATCTTTCACCGAAGCATCTTAGAATAGAATACAAGGAACATTATATTTTTTGCCTTGGGAGACAATATATATATTTTATTATCCATTCTGTACATTGTGCATCCTGGACACATGTAACCCTGCTGATGTCACCAGTATGACTATTGTCTACAAGACACCATCTACTGCATCCAATATGAACCATGAAGAACTGAACTGAGAATTGACACAAAAAGCATCCTCTGAAGATCACATCGACCACAAACACTGGGTTTTACCTTGACTTACAAAAGTGGAGGTCCAGGAGACCCCTATCAACCAATTTTACAGGCCCTAAATGACTCTTGCTGGTAAAATGAGGGTTCTGTAACGTACGGAAATGATGTATTGCAGAGTATGTTGAGATAATTACTTCAGAGCCTGGAATGAATCGGTGATCATGTGGACAATGTTCAAGACTGACGGGTGAAGTAACAGACACTAGTGTTGGGAATTGGTTAAAATCTCATAATTGATGATTGGTTCATTACAACCAATCAATCATCGAAAATAATTGGTTAGCCTCATTTATGAAGTTTTCCTGTTTGCACAAAAACATAAAGAAAAAACTTGTAGTTCTTTGGTTGATTTTTCGCAACTTTCACATCTTTAAAGGATGACTAGTATGTTAGGAACATAAATTTCTTGGGGTATTCAATCCTGACTTGGAACGAGCTTGCAGTGGTCATGAAATGTAACAGACAAAACCAACTTTGTGAAAAAAATTGTTAATGCAAAAGGTGTTCCAGAATTGTTTGTATTCGATTATGGAAAACATGATCGATTCCTTGGTCGTTTAGTCACTGCGACCAATCTTCGATTATTTCAATTAATCGGACCACCACTAACAGACACAGATAACTACTCTTCATGCGCTGTAGGTATGCTCTCTGTACTTTGTGTATCTATCTGGACACAGTATTTTGGGTTTTCTGCGTCCATTGTCTACATTTCTGCATGGTGGATGCACATTTGTGTGTCGCATAAAACCCTGCAAACATGAATCTGTGTTAATCGTTTTTAACTGTAATGTTCAATTTAACTTACATGTCTCTTGAAATATACGGCCAGCAGTGCATATGTAATTTTCTCTATTTAACATTGTTTAAAGTGTTCAACGCCCATCCTCAAATTTGGAGTCAAAATGAATATCCTAGAAAGACCATTTTCAGGACCCAAAGAGTGTTTTACTGGTGAGTGAGTGAGTTGGGTTTTACGGTGTTTTTAGCAATATTCCAGAAATGGGCTTCACACATTGTACCCATGTGGGGAATCGAACTCAGGTCTTCGGCAAGACGAGCGGACACGTGAACAACTAGGCTTCCCCACCGCCCCTGGAGTGTTTTACTGAGAATCACTGACAAATAGTGACATTTCCCAGGACTCGCATCATTTAAGAATACAATAGTTGGATAGCCACAGGTAGACCTAAAGGTACAATCTAAGGGAGTCAACACACTGCAATCCATCCAGTCCACATGCCATTTCTGTACTTATGGCATTCTGCTGGAAACAAATGGCTCTAAGATATTTCATGAATCTTTCAAGTTTGAAAAGACATTCTTTTACCACATCTATCATTAACAACAAACAAAATTGTGTCATCCTGGATGATTTTGAGCATGATGAGTGAGTGATAAGTCAATCAAATACAGCCACTGGAATATAAACAGATCATCTAGATTTTCACATGAAATGATGAAAATGATCATGATGATGGATCCATGCCTAAATTTCACAAAATCTCATACGATAACAGGGATAGAAATTCACACTAGTCAGATAGCAAAGACCGGTTATGAATTGGCACATTAATCCTGTTGGCTAGTAGTAGAATTTCCAACATTCTGGGTAGTACTGTTATCACTATTCTCTTTTATAATTTCTACCTTTGCCTGTCAGTCATGTCCTGACCCAAAGAATTCTAACCTTTCAGTTCAACGTTAGCTGGCTAGGCTATGCATGTTTAGTTGTGACACATTCACCTGGATCCGACCATTTGCCTGAACCCGTCCAATCAATCATGGCAATTGTTAATAACATTGCATAAGCTATCTTGATCAATTACCCAACAAAACAAAACTGTATTACAGGATCAGTGAAAACTTGCTCTAATCAATAATTTGCCTTTGTTACCATGACTTTTGTACTGACGAGAACCGGAGATCATAAACAGGGGCACAACAATACATTGTTAATGTAATAGAAACAAGGATCACCCACTGATAGTATGATCAACATTTTGCAATATTTACTTTGATGTTACTCAACTAAAACATGTTGAAATAATTACAGCCTGTACATGGTGTTGTGCATATACATATTGAATCACAGTCATTTTGTGTTTGTAAAGACTCGACAGACAAATAATCTGGGTTTCTCAGTGCCCTTTGTCTCCAACAAAATCACAAATTATTAATTGGAATCATTTAATTTGTCCTCACAAAAAAATTATGATAAAGAGGAGATAAAAGTTTCCAGTGCAGTTTACAAATTTCCCTGGGTGCATAGTTCAAGAACTGACAAAACATGCATTAAACATAATGTTACCATGATGAAACGTAAATGAGTGCTCAGTCGTTTTGAATATTCGTCAATGTTAACTTTTGAAAGGGAGGAGAAAGATGTGCTCTGAAACCGGTAAAATGAGACCACAGGAGGATTTGGTATTAAATTAGGCCTCCAGAAATCTATGCATTTTGTACATGACATGGATCAGGTGGTTTTGATCTTGGAGATTTGTGTATCATACACATATGAATTTTCTAAAAACTGTCAATTTATCTGTCAATTACTGTTATTTACCTACCTTTAGTGATTAAAAGCCAGTCCCTTGTAGAAATGTCACAATTTCAAGCGTAAATGTGGTAGCAGACGATGTTTACTTTGATACAGAAGTACACTATTGCAGCTGCACAGAATTACCGGACACGCGGAATTACGGGACTCGCTTGTGATAAGCTAACACCATGAATCATTTAATTAAAATTTACTATTACTAGTAGTTGTAGTAAACAATAACATATGGCAGCAATACCTGCTTGTTTTGTCATCCTAAATAAATGTTTGCATCCACAAACAAATTCAGGAGATAATACCTATAAAATATGAATAGTGTGAACAGGTGTGTTAACATGCTTTTATGTTGCCAGTTGACCATGTTGACTGATGGCTTTCACAATATGTTCAGATCCTCAAATTTTATCATCACAAAGAATCCAACATAATTCAACAAACATGATTATCAATATCACAACTAAATATTTGCATTTACAACGTCAAACCGACATTTACTGGATGTAAATGTATCAACAGTAATTAACAGATGACATTCATTAACTGATCACATAGAACTGATCACCTAGGCTTTGTAGACACACCCCTTTCACCTCGGTGTCGCGAGAATTGATTGTCAGCTGGTATTGTCTAGTGTGATCAGTTTGCCGAAGCGTGCATTTTGCACAACAAAATGACTCACAATGAAACATACGACTGAAAAATACATTACCTTCAGTGCCTAAGCGACAGAAAGGCTGAACAAGTTGAGCGAAAGTCAAATTATTTTTCTGACACAAAACCTCTGCATCTTTGCTACACAAGACAGCCACATGCGGACTGAATGTGTTCTGGATAAACTCCGGTGCAGACTGTTTGCACTGTGCCATTGTTCCTTAAGATATTTTCCCTAAAATCACCATATTACAGTTATTCTACTGGCTCTGAGACAACTGAATGCATAATAATCCATTTGTGACATGTCGTCGGCCATTTTGATGAAATACCACTTCCGGGGGATTGAACAAGGGAGATAATCGTGAAAACCCTATTCATGATATGGAATCCATTCGACCATGGGAATTATGCGTTCAAACCGTGAGACTGTTTTGTCTTATCACATATATTATTTTAATAATTTGTATTTATTGTTTCCGTCTTTAAGATCTTGAATATGTGTAACCAGGATTCTCATAGTGATAATCAAATCAGATTCTAATAAATATAGCTCATTCAAAATAAATAGTTTCTTCTGTTGTGTTTTTGCAGCATAAGTTCGGTTACAGAAAAAGAAAACATTGTTCTGATATTCATTTCAATTCTTTCCATTTTCGGTATCAAACTTGACATTGCAGGAATATTGTCGAACGAGGCGCACAATTACAGAATCATGGTCTCTCGCCTGCTCTGGCTGTAGGCGCCTATGCAGACATTGGTAGATATGGCGGTGATAAAGTTTACAATACATTCACTTTGAAAGTCCGTGAGTGAGTTGAGTTTTACGCCGCTTTTAGCAATATTCCAGCAATATCAAGGAGGGGACACCAGTAATTGGCTTCACAGATTGTGTCCATGTGGGGAATCGAACCCAGGCCTTCGACGTCAGGTTGAAAGGTGTTGTTTCTGCGGGTTCCGGGTCGTTTCAACCTAAGTAGTTTCATCCGGGTAGTTTCATCCGGGTTCTTTAATCCCAAGTCAAAACTAAGCCAATTCATCCAATAATTAGGGGTCGTTTCACCCCTAATCAAAAGTTGTTTCACCCAACTAATTGACTATACATGGAGAATGGTATTAATGCTTAAATCTGTTAATACTAAGTTTGTGAAGATACCGGCAAAATTGACTGTAAATATGGACAAAACTAAAGTGATTGCTTTTAAAAATGGAGGTAAATTAGCGAAAAATGAAAAGTGGTTTTATAACGGACAGACGTTGGAAACTATATCTTTCTATAAATATCTCACTTGGAGCTTCGTCAAACCAGGCTAAGGAATTGGCAAGAACCTTTCTGTACTTTCAGACATATCTTATAATGCTTTTATCAAGATATTTAACGCAAAAAGAAGCCGAATATTACTTTATGGGTCAGAGGTATGGGAACTTACAGCTTATGATGCAATTGAAAAGTACACTTATTTGCCTGTAAAAAATACTTAGGAATTAAAACAAATACTCCCAGTGTTATGGTGTATGGGGAAACGGGGCGTTATCTCATGTGTGTGTGTGTGTGTGTGTGTGTGTGTGTGTGTGTGTGTGTGTGTGTGTGTGTGTGTGTGTGTGTGTGTGTGTGTGTGTGTGTGTGTGTGTGTGTGTGTGTGTGTGATGATATATAAAAGTCATTAATATTGGTTAAGACTTATACATATGACCCCTTACAGATACCCACGGAAATGCTATGAAATGATGTTAGTATATGATAAAAATGGTAAACGAAATTAGGGCACACACGTGAAGGAGGTACCACATACGTGAAGGAGATACTTTTTAATACAGGTTTTAATTACATTTGGTATGATCAACATGTAAACTGTTCTTCAAATTTCATAATGACTTTTACACAGAGGTTGAAAGACATATTTCTGCAGGATTGGCATCGCGCCCTGAGTTTGTCGAGTAAATGTTTCTACTACAAACAGCTAAAATCCACTATTGAAACTGAAACTTACCTCGAGGTTATAAATGTGAAGAAATTTAAGATAGCATTTGCAAGGCTAAGATGTTCATCCCATGATCTCTTTGTGGAAACAGGAAGGTACACAAATATCTCTAGGGAAAATAGATATTGTAAACTTTGTAATTTGAATATCATAGAAGACGAATATCATCTACTTCTTATGTGTCCATTTTATTCAACAATAAGAAAAAAACATCTGTCTAATTATTATATTAGACACCCAAACACTCACAAATTTATTGCTCTACCGAGTTCGAACAATTCTCAAGTTCTACGAAATGTATCAGCATTTATATTCAATGCTTTAAACTATAGAAAGGCTGTCATGTCTTAATTGTGTCATGCAATATCCACGTTAATGATTGCTTATATTCTACCATATGTATAATATAATTGCACTACAGGCCTGTGGCCACTTCAGTACTGAATAAACGGATTGAGCCGTTTAAACGTGTAAATACTAATTAGGCAATGTTTTTACAACAATCAGGTAAGTGCTACTTAGGCCATGAGCCAAACAATCTTTTGGTACCACTCAGAGGGACCAAACACTTTTATGTTTTTTGAAGTGGCTATTGTCTCTACATATCGAAAATGTATCATAGCCATGTCGGTTTGGTAGCTCAAACTCAGAACGAGGCTAAATCCAAGATGGCCGCCAAAAAACCCCAATATTTTCAAAAAATGTCTATTCCAAGCTTTAAACATGAGTAACGTTCAGCAAATAGGTTTGAAATGACAAAAGGGAGGTAAAATGGTGCTAACATGATCAATAGGATTTAATTAAAATCAATATGTGTTATTTGAACCTTTAAATAATATTTTTTCCTGATTTTGTAAGAGTCAGAACTGTATGTTCAAAGAGCTTTTTCGAAAACTAATCATTTCATTTATTCTGAAGACAGCTCTTTAATTTCAAATAGTGAGAGCACCTTCAAGTTACTTAAACTGTGTAGTGATAGTCACTGTTCCGCATCATAAACATCAGCTTCAGTATCAGTGTCACTCTTGGCATGGCACGGTCCTCGCATACCATGTTGTCACAAGTCTGGATCGGACATGTCGCTCTTGATTTCAATCCACTGGTATGGCACTGGCAACTTGGCAGTTAATAGACTGTTGTGCACTTGCAAGAAATGAACTCAAGAACAGCATCTGGAGCAAGAGATCCTGTCATACAGTAAATCTTTATGTGATCATTTTCTTCCATCCATAGTGCGTGAGTGAGTTTAGTTTTACGCCGCTTTTAGCAATATTCCAGCAATATCACGGCGGGGGACACCAGAAATGGGCTTCACACATTGTACCCATGTGGGGAATCGAACCCGGGTTTTGGGCGTGACGAGCGAGCGCTTTAATCACTGGGCGTTCCAACCGTCCCAAACCTTTGATAGTCTGTCGTGATATAGCATGTCTGTATAAAGGCACACACATTTCACTTCGGTGAACTTTCTTCGTTTTAACTGTAACATGACACGGGTTTTCTTTGACCATTTCTTCTGTTCTATATTCTACAGATTTGTAATTCTACTTTATTGATAACCTTTTCGTGTATCTGCGTTTAGGTCAATCCATGTTCCGCTAGTCAACTGTCTATGACAAATTGTTGGGTTAATCATATGACACGTGAATATGATAATACATGTACTTCTGTGTAGAATCAGTTGGTAGGTGTTGATGTAGACATAGAGGACCTATTCACTGAACTTTGGGACTTCCAGTGCCTCTCAACTTGGCTTTAGTTATTCTCATAAACCCGAGATATGTGTGGCGCCTCTTTGGCAAGCGTGAATCATGCGATCATGGGTTCGAATCCCCAATACCATCTCTTGTGTTTCTGGGTTTGTCAGCGCCATGCCCATGGTGTGTTTCACCAAAGTGGTCAAAGGTTCTTAGACATGCATAACTTCGGGCTTCCCTCCCACATCAAACTGACACGAGGTGACAGAAATACAATATGTATCAAAACGGCTTTTGACTCACTCACTAACTTCAGCCACGTAATGCAGTACAAAACGTGATGTTTAAACGCATGATTCCCCACTATCAACTAAATAAATATATATGATACAGTGTCAAGATTGTTCACATCTGATTGGACGTTTACTGCATGTGGCGGTGTGTGGTCGTGTGTGTAGAGCTCAGGTCACGAATCCGTTGAAGTTAAGCAACGTCGAGCTCGGAGATAACAAGCAGCTTGGGTTATCCGGGGTAATAATAATCAGATTCTGATTACAGTGTCCATTGAGCAATTAGTCAGATGGATACTAGGCGCTATATAAATGCATTATGTTTTACAGATTTAAGATAGTATGCAGCAGAGAGGGTTCGGGTGACCCTGGAACAGTCAGGCTGGTAAGGCTCATAATCAGCACAGGGCCCTAGCCCCCTCTACACGCAGCCCAGACAGCGAATGGGACTTCTCCCTGGAAAAACTGCCTAGTCGAACCCACCAAGAACTTTCCGGAGAATATGTAGACTCCCCAACACTGCTGCCTTCTGCATTACAGTGTCAAAAGGGATGTGCTCCCGGTGGAGAACCCGGACACTCTCCTGATCAGAGAGAGTCAGGAGGTACCAAACCAAGGGCACCGAGTACAAAGGGGAGCCTGACGACAGTGTACTTGGGATGCAAGCGAGACATTTCAAAGGCGAGGTCCGCATACCTAGCATGCTTTTCCTGAATCTTGCCAATCACATTGCTGTCAAAAGGGACAGAAAATTCAATGATATAAATGCATTCATTGGCTTTATCAAAAGGACAAGTTCATGTTTGTTGGCTGGAATTCTTCTGAGGCTGTATACAGGCCTATTCCACAGAAGTTTGAAAGCATCATTTTCCATGACGCCCTGGACATGACCTCTGAGTCAAAGCCACAGGCATGGCTGTTTGAGCCACGGAAGGGCATCCACTGACAAGTTATTGGAAAGTCGGCATTTCATATTGATATTTTCTTTAAGAATCACATTTAGGCGATTACGAGTGAGAAGTGACTGGTCCTGAGCAGCAAAAAGAAAGCTCTCTGTTTCACATTTAAGACCAGCCGACTTCATCCAGGCGAAGGAGTCGGTTGGATTGCTATTCTGTTCCACGCACTGCATATATACACGATGCAGTTTCTCAGAAAGCTTCTCCACAAAAGACCGACTCTGATCAGACTTGGTAAAGGACTTCACCTGGTTTACTCCCATCGCTGTACTGTCCAGCAGTACATTGCAATCAACAAAATCAACCTCAAATTTCAGATTCTGTCCAACAACCTTGGCACGCTTAAATAGCTGTGGAATTCCTTGCTTTCATCATGAGTCTTAACATGCATTACCAGAG